CCTCCCCTGGCTGCCCCCTCTTCTGCCCACGTGATTTTTTGTCCCCCTCACAGAGAGTCCATGAAAGGAGCGGCCGGTCCTCAGATGGGCCTGCAGAGCAGCAGCATGCCACCAGCCCTGGCCCCCTGTCACCACCCAGACCGTGGTCGTCTCATCCCCCGGCAGCGTGAGTCTCCCGAGTGGCTGTCCGACCTTTCTCTCCTCTCTGAGCCTCTGCCCCTACTGGTGGCCCTCCCCTACTCTTCCCTCCCTAAGATACTAAGGACGTTACTCCAGAGACATACTTCCCTTCAGATGATAGAACAGTTTTCATCTTTGTCCGAATGAAAAGACCTGCATCTTGCAAGAAAAAATGAGCATCTGCCCCACACCCACGAGAAGCAAACACTTCATTGCACGTCAGTGAGGAAGCCTCTCACTCCACCGCTTCCCTGGACCCCAGCCCTGCCTTCTGTACCTTCGTGCTAAAGGACGTGATTTTCTTTTAGTCCGAAGTATTCTGTGTAAGGTTATGAAAGGTAACTTGGTAATTCCCACGGGTCAGATTCATAAGTAAGTGAAGACTGCTCTCAGCGGGAAGTACTCCCTCCTGAAGCTCCCTTTTCCAATTGTCAGGAAGACACAGGCAGTCGGTCCTCCTGGCCCTGCCCGTGGGGAGGGGTGGGTGGGACTGGCGCGATGGCAGCGGTCTCTCCTACAAGGACCATGGGCGCGGCCTCCCGGCGGTTGACAGCCTGAACAGTGGGTTCGCCCGGTTTCAACCTCCTCCCCCGCATCTCTCTGGAATAAATCTGCTCTTTGCACGTTTTAACGCTGCCAGCTGTCTCAAAATGCCAGAGAGCATCTAAGGTGCTCCCTGGGCTGGCAGCCTGAGTCCTTGGGAGGGAGGGTCTCCTGGGGTCAGGAAGCAAGCCTTTATCCTGGCACAGGGACACATCTGCTGTCGGCCACCCTCAGAGGGGCATGGCGTGGGCACAGGAGCCTCAGCAAGGGCTGGCTAGACTGGGTGCCCTCTGAGCTGGGGCCAGGGGAGCTGAGACTCAGCCCCTCTGCTTGCTGGCCTCGAGGCCGCCCTCCCACCTTCTCAGCAAAGTGGTCACTGAAAATAGGTGTCCGGGGGCACTAAGAGGACAGCCAGGCGGTGGTGTGAAGCGAAGCGCGTTCCGCACTGCGCTGCCCGGCGTGAGCCTCGGATTTCACGCTTGAAGCCTGGGACCCCTCAGCCTCCTGGGCCTGGATGCACCTGGGAAGTGATGATCTCCTTGGCCCACCCTCCTCCAGGGTGCCTGCCCTTCCACCTTCCTTCCTTTGGCCTCCGCCCCTAGTGTCTGAGGTAGCAGCTGGCTCTGGCGAGCACACCTGTTGCAGGTGCAATGTCCACGCTCCGCCAGACCCTCGGCAGCTAGACGTGAACTGGGGCCTTGCGGGGAGCTCTAGGGTCACCTGCACCCCGATGTTGGGTCTCATCGCCTCTTCCAGCACCCAGCGTTCACGTCCACTCGAGGTGTCCACCCCACCCGGCACCAGCACCCATGATGCCTGACCCTTCACGCAGAGCGCACAGCGGGGTCCTCGGCGCCCCCCTGCCCACCCCAGCGGTTCCTCTTCCTCCTAATGTGTGAGAGCAGGAAAAGGCCACCCCACCCACACCACTCTGCTTGTCTCCCCCCAACCATTCCCCACTCCTGGAGTTCGGCCAAATTCTGCCCCTTCACGCCCTCCCTGTGTGATCTGGGGCCAGTTACTTGGCCTCTCTGTGCCTCTGATTCCCCGTGTGAAAACTGCAACAAGAGCACTTGCTCCTAGACACCTTGTGAGAGTTTGGCGAGTCCCACGTCTGTGAGGTGCTAGAGCAGGGAAGGGCTGCTCACGACTTCGCTCTCAGAGACACACACACACACACACACACACACGACTTCGCTCTCAGAGAGACACACACACACACACACACACACACACACGCCCACGCCCAGGCTCCCGCCGCCCGCCAGGTTCCCTCGGCCTAGCTACCCTCTGGCAGCCCTCTTCCTGGATTTCAGCAGGCCATGCCCCCGCCCGAACACCTGGAGGGTTTGTTCCCTGCAGTATTGTGCGCCTGGCACTTAGTGGCCCGGCAAGAAGAGGGGCTGCCCGATCCCAAAGCCAGCCCAACCAGGAGACCGCCAAGTCCGTGATTCCGGACACTGGCCCCTGGGGAGGGCTGGGAAAAGTGGGACAGAAGGGGCCGGACTTGTCCAGGGCATGCTGGCTGGAGGCCAGAACTGGGGAAGGTGGCGTCTGGATAGCCTGAGACACTCCCTGTCCACAGGGAGCCTCGGTGCCTCCCGGCCACACCTGTCACCCAGGCCCCTGGCCACTTCCTTTTTTGGGTGCTGGGAAGCCTCCCTCTACCCCATTCCCCTCCAGCAGGCACAGCTGAGGCCTACTTCCCCAAGAGCTGGGAGCAGAACCCCAAAGAGGAAAACCCTTTCCACACCCTGCACCCCAAATCCAAGGGCACCCCCCTGCCTGAATGAGTCCAGCTTTGGAGAGGCAGCCCTATCCACTGCATCCTCTGTGGTCCCCCATCTTTCAGCCCTCAGAAGAGTAGGAGTCCAGGTTTTGGGGGGTCTAAAGCTTAAACAGTAGGGGAGCCATGTTTAAGAAAAAGAACACAAAGAAATACCAAATTAAGAGAGTCCTGCACCTCTGGCACTGGGAAAGTTTACACCTCTGGCCTTTCCTGAACACAGACCCTCTGAAGCAGACCCGGCATCGTCTGCCCAGCCCACTGCCCACGTTGGCCTGACTGGCACCCATCCCCCACCCCCACGCCCGCCTGCATCCCTGCTGCTGACCCCTCCCTGTCCCCACCACTGCCCGGCTCATTCCAGCTCAGCCTTGGCCCTCAGCCCAAGCAAGATCTCCTCTAGGAACCTTTGGGAGGCCCTAAAGTGCCCCTCCCAGCACTGGCCTCATGGATTGCGGGGTGTGACTGGGAGGCTCCGGAATCCCCGGAGTGGGCCCAGGGCCTGCTGGGAGACTGCACAACAGGCTCTGATGGAGGAAGCCACAGCCCCCGTTTTCTCATTTCTGAAATGGGGAAGTGCTCCTGCCTGAGGTCCAGAATTGACAGACTGCCATGATTACAGCCACACACCTGCACAAGTTCCTTTTAGAAAGGGCACAGGAAGGGTGCCTGCTGTGTGACCCTGGCTAGTTACCAGGCCGGAGCTGCCTTCTCTGCAGACTGTCCCTGCTCTAGAAGGTTCTTGGGAGGCCTGGCCAAGCATTAGTAGTATTATGTTAATGCTCATATCCAAAAACACAGCTCAAAAGGCTTTTCTCTTCTGTGGGTGTGGCTGGGGGGTCACTTTGGGGAAGCGGTTGGGTTTACAAAATAACCAGATGGGGAAGTTACGGAGCTTGAGAAATCCCCCCAAATTTCCGCCATCCTTGCCCCCCTTTCCACTCACCCTTGATAACCCCATGGCCCAGTGGTCCCAGGACAGCAGTGACAGGTGTCCTTTGCTGTGCCCAGCTGTGTTCCAGGTCTCTCAACACAGGGCGAGGAGTCCCGGCCAGAGAAGACTGTGAGCGGCAGGTATGGGGGTGGAGAAACCTAGAGACCAGGCTGCTGCAGGGGGCTCCGGTCCACACGTGGCCTGAGCCAGGCGCTCTGTGTCCCGGAGGCCCTGGGGTAGAGAAGGAACAGTAGTAGCTGACAGCCGACCGGGCTCATCCACAGTGGCCCTGCATCAGCTTATTCACAGACGCATCCCAGGAGCTAGGCACACCGCTGGGACACTTGATTCAATGCCGTGGTGGTGGGTAACGCGTCAATTCAGCACGCCTTGGGGGAACCCACCGTGCCTGGACATGGGGGCGCGGGGGCGCAGCTCCCCCTTGGCCCCCTTCCTCCCTCCTCTCTGGGTCCTCCAGTGAGGGGATGGGGGGAGGGAGGAAGAACAGTGTTGGCAAGTCACCCTCGAGGGGCCCTACTTGAGACGCCCGGCCCAGGGCCCCTCAGGTCCAGGTGGTGTGCAAGGACTCGCCGGGCTGCTTGGGGTGGGCGAGGCCCACGAGGGCCGGGGCCAGGCCGCTCCCTCCAGCTGTGCCGGCAGCCGAGGGGCGCAGTTCTGTCGCAGCTGCTCACACCGAGTTTTGGTTCCGAAAACACTTTCCTTCTAAGCAGGGCCACACCCTGGTAGTTACGGAGCCTGCGGCGGTCGGTGTCACCATTGGCGGCAGCCGCCGCCAGCCAACCTGACCCGCGGGGTAGAGGAGCGATGGCGGATGGGGGCGGGGCGGGGCCCGGGTCCAGCGAACGTGCTTGGGACACAGCGTGGTGAGTGGGGACCAGGGGTCCTCCTGGGGCCGGCGCTCCTCCCCACCCAGCGGCCCCCAGCACGGCCCCCGTCCTTGCCCCCCCCCCGCCCCACCCTCCAGGCCTCCACTCCGCCCCCAGTCCCGCCCCTAGTCCCTGCCCGGTGTCCTTGCGGGCCGCCCCACACGCGCGGGGCGGGGCGGGCGCGGAGCGCTTGCGTATGGCTCCGGAGGCGCATGCGCGCGGCAGGCGGGGGCGCGCGTGCGCACTGGCGGCGTGGCGGCATTGATGCTAGGCGGGCCGGCGCCGCGGGCCGGGTGGCCGTGGGGCAGGGGGTGGCCATGGGGCAGGGGGCGGCCGCGGCGCCGGGGACCGGCTAGCGACTGCGAGCGGCGGCGGGGCGGCGGGACCCGCGGGCTCGGCCCGGCGAGCGAACGGTGAGTGAGCGGCCCCTCGGCCCGGCCCGCCGCCCGCGGTCGTGGGGTCGTGGAGTCGTGGGGTCGTGGGGGCGGGGCGGGGGTCGCGGGGACGGGGGCTGCCCTGCCGACCGCGGGGTGTGGAGCCGGGAGGCGCTGGCCGGCCGCCCCCTGCCCCGGGCGCCCGCGCAGGCGTCCGGGCGGCCGGACCTCGCCCCCCGCGTCCGCGCTGTGGGGCGGCTTGGCGGGTCCGGCCCTCACGCGGAGCGGTCAGTTAGGGGTCCGCGTCGCGTTATTTATCCTCGGAAGGCGCGTTTGCGCTCCGAGCCCAGCGCCCACCCGACCACCCCGGAACCCCTGGTCACTGCCTCCCCGTCTGGCGCGCTCTGGTCCTCGTGGGGGCCGCCTCGCCACAGGGTGCCGGGCCTGAGTCGGGTGGTCGTCACTTCCTGCTGGACGACGCGCTCGGCTCCGGCCGTGACCTTTGCTCTGCCGCGGGGACCCGCGGACCCGGACAGGCAGGTGCGGTAGCGCGGACGCCGGCCCCGGGTTTCAGGTGCTCCCGGGCCTGCCGTGCAGGTGGGCGTGGGGTGGGCTCGGCGGCGGCGCCCCGGGAGATCGCTGGGCGCTGGAGAGGAGGCCCCGGTAACCCGCAGGACGAAGGGGCGGGCGGTTCTTTACCGGGGGTGCTGCCCTTGTTACCGAACCCAGGTCTGGCTGCTCGCCGCTCGAAAGCCAATTCTCGAGAGATAGATGTTGGTAGGTAAGGAAAGGTTGCTTTATTTCGGAGGCCAGCAAAAGGGGGGGCGGGGAGGGCGGATACCTGTCCAAGGGCCCTGCCCCGCCCAAAAAGGGGGCAAGAGCTTTTATAGACAGAGGGAGGGGGCTACGTGCAGAAACAATGCAGTCAGCTCTGACGGTCATCATGAAGCTGGTCATCGGTGGTCTGACCAGCGTCATCTCGATGTTTTAGGTAGAGTTACTCTTCAGTTCCAGGGTCGGTTTGTTTCCATTTCCTCGAGGCCAGCGCCTGGTCCTCATGTAGTTCACTTCTTCCACCTGGTGGGGTTTCAGTGTCTACAAGACGGCTCCCAGGGGAGGGCTCCGAATATTACCTATGGCCCTTAAGGGGGAACAGAGGTCCTTGACTTTGCCTAATGACTGCACTATTATTATTTGGTCTCCTTTGACTGTTTTCCTCTGTTTCTGTGTTCTCTCGCTTCTCTGATTAAAGCTATTCTTTGGCTCAAGGTTTTCCACAGACAGAAGGCGGGCCGAGGACACGGAGGGGCCGGGCGGGGGGTTGGGAAAGGACCATAGCGTCCTGCTCCGTTTCAATCCCCCTTTCCTTTGGTACTCCTCAGTCTTGGGGAGGGCCGGGTACGGAACAGGAAGGGGAATAAGGTTTTGGGTAGAGAGGTTATCAACTTGGCAGGGGAGCTCGGGTTTAGTTCCATTTCTGTTTCAGTTTTCCCCAAGTGTTTGAGGGAATGGGGCAATACCCCTCTTGGCTACTTCTTGCTGAAGTGGGGCATAGTCCTGCCTAATTTGGGGAATGGACACAGAATTGGAAATAACTTCAAGCTCTGTGCTTACCATCAATATTCTGTATTATGAGAACATTACCTCTCTCCTTGATGACTTTGTCATAGTACCTGGACAAGCATTTGAAAATTGGTAGACATTTTACAATGAAGATAATAATCAAAATGCATCTTCATATTAGTCTCTGAATGTATTGTTTCTTAATAGTTAAAGCAGATGTGCAGTGTATGTTTAATAGGCCATAAACAGGCTGTTTTGGTTAGCCTAAAGTTCAGATGAAATCCTGTGTAAGCCAGAATGACTTCCCCATACATACCTCAGTACGTGAAAATTTCCTCCATCATTTTCCCCTTTTAATTGTAACTCTTTCCATAGAAAGCATTGATAGTCAATATATTTTTCCAACGTAGCCAGAGTGGCTCAGATGCCTGCTCTGGGTCCATTCATGTCCCTCGGTGCTAGGCCTCTTTTTGTTTATATATTTGCCTAGTTGTCCACGTTGGGGGAAAACGAATCAGATATCATGAACAGGCACAGAGGTATGTTAATCGGGAAACACTTTATGGCCATACATCTTATCATTTGTATCCAGTTCTCACACAGACATTGTACATGTGCTTTCAGCAGTAAACTTAGAGCCAGCATACACATCATGAGTGGTTATACTCTGTGACAACTTCACTGGACAATTTTTTCCATCCTGAACATCGGGGTCAAAAGTATGGTTAGAAACAAAACAGCTTTCCATCAGAATTTTTTAATTTCTTACTCAGCTCAACAGTAAGGTCTGAAAGTTATCAAATGTTTTCCATATAATTTAACATACCAAATAATCCTAATTAGTTTAGAAAAAATATTTTTCTCTTAACAGAGAGAGAAAACAAAATTTAGTCTTGTATCAGTTTACTGTTAATAACAAAATTCCTTTACGTAATTAAATTTAGTCTAATCTTAATCCTAACAACATACAAAATTCTTTTCTCAAAGTTACTTTTTCACAAACATTTTATCACTTTTTGGATCCATACAAATTTGTCCTTTTTTTCCCATCCAACCAACGGTAAGACAAAATTATTGTCATCATTTTTCCTCAACGAAAATATCTCCGTTCTTTATACTTTTCTTCTCCGACAGCACATATCCTGCTTGCTTTGCACGCTGAAATGCTTCCCTTATCATGTTCACACGTTACAACGTTTAACCCTTGAAAACCTTAACAAAACCAAGAAACAAGTAATTGAACTATTTGTTATATCAGTATTTTCTGATGGGCAAACTTAAGAACATATTCCATAACCTCTAAAAACATACACTTTTTCATAGCACAATTTCTCTTTAATGTGTTACAAGATGTGTGTTTAAGAAACCCAGACATAGTGCTTCCCTGGTGGCGCAGTGGTTGAGAATCTGCCTGCCAATGCAGGGGACACGGGTTCGAGCCCTGGTCGGGAAGATCCCACATGCCACGGAGCAACTAGGCCCGTGAGCCACAACTACCGAGCCTGCGCGTCTGGAGCCTGTGCTCCGCAACGAGAGAGGCCGCAATAGTGAGAGGTCTGCGCACTGCGATGAAGAGTGGCCCCTGCTTACCGCAACTAGAGAAAGCCCTCGCACAGAAACGAAGACCCAACACAGCCAAAAATAAACAAATAAATAAAAAAGAAACCCAGACATCTTTCGTTTTACTTTTAGTCTTGGCAAGAAGACAGGAAGTAGGTAAATTGAGATTTGTTTGATTTGTAAGTGCTTACTTTTTCTTTTAAAGCCAATTAAATAGAGCTCTTTGCAAATTAACCAAAGCCAAAGACATATTGAGACATACATACATCCAGACAGAGGTCTCAATTGTTTCATCTTTTTACATTTCATGAATTAGGCATTGCAACTAAACTTATCAGCTTATGAATAACAGTCCGAATGGTCAGATTTACACTCAATTTTAAAAGGCTTTTTTTCCCCCTCCTTTTTTTTGTCTTGAGGTTTTACTAATTAACCCAAGGCTGAAGTCTCAGGCAAAGTGGGCTGTGTTTGTATTTCAAGAACACGATAAGAGTTAACTTGCAGTATTTTCCTAGGCATATTTTTGTTCTCTCAGGGTCAGAATTCTGAAAACAGTATTTTATCAAGCTAGCTTTCTCTAACTGCGTATGCAAAAGAATCAGTTTGGGAATTTCAAAAGTTTCATCTTAACCAATTTTCTCCGGAGTCTAAAGAATACTGTTGCCATACGTTGGTTAGAAAAAAATCATCTTTCTTTTTCTTTGTCATACTTTCATAGCTAAAAAATTGTTTTTAATGAATTGCGCCTGAATTTCCCATTTGACATAAGACAACGAAGATACCAACCACGTAGATGGGATACATGTTCACACACCAAAAGACAGATCTGTCGCAAATCTTCTTCAAAGGATGACCAGTATGGAATCCCAAACAAACACTTCCCCAACACAGACGGTCCTCAACGGTAGACAGACGTCAGAATCAACTGGCAAAATGCCCAGATAGCACTTTGTGCTCACAAATGGGAAGGGTGCCCGGGTGCACACTAGTGGAATTAACCCGGCCTTGGAGCTGGTCAGCTCGTCCCAAACGCACATTTCATTTCCACCAACCAAAAGCGAAAGTTGGCAGCCAGTGCCCAGCAGGGGAGAAACAGGGAGGATTCCCGAAACAAATGGTTTGCGGCAGCTGCTGGGAACGTCCCCTAAAATCCCCCTTGGGGCTGGCTAGCCACAAGCAGCTGGCTGGTCGCGGCTCATCCTGGCATGCCTGCCGTAGCCGGTGGCTCTACTCTGGGAGGCCCAGGGAGGCCAGACACTGCGAGGGCACAGCCCCACCGTCGGGCGCCAAAATCTCCTACCGAACCCAGGTCTGGCTGCTCGCCGCTTGAAAGCCAGTTCACTAGAGACAGGTGTTGGTAGGAAAGGAAAGGTTGCTTTATTTTGGAGGCCAGCAAAGCGGGGGGGCGGGGAGGGCAGATGCCTGTCCAAGGGCCCTCCTCCCCGCCCAAAAAGGGGGCAAGAGCTTTTATAGACAGAGGGAGGGGGCTACGTGCAGAAACAATGCAGTCAGCTCTGACGGTCATCATGAAGCTGGTCATCGGTGGTCTGACCAGCGTCATCTCGATGTTTTAGGTAGAGTTACTCTTCAGTTCCAGGGTCGGTTTGTTTCCATTTCCTCGAGGCCAGCGCCTGGTCCTCATGTAGTTCACTTCTTCCACCTGGTGGGGTTTCAGTGTCTACAAGACGGCTCCCAGGGGAGGGCTCCGAATATTACCTATGGCCCTTAAGGGGGAACAGAGGTCCTTGACTTTGCCTAATGACTGCACTATTATTATTTGGTCTCCTTTGACTGTTTTCCTCTGTTTCTGTGTTCTCTCGCTTCTCTGATTAAAGCTATTCTTTGGCTCAAGGTTTTCCACAGACAAAAGGCGGGCCGAGGACTCGGTGCGGGGAGGACCATAGGGCCCTAGGGGCTCCGCTTCACCCTCAGGTCGGGCTTCTCTTCGGCCGTGGCCCCGGCACAGGGCGGTCTGGGGTTGGTGCTGCCTGCCCGCCTCCTGACCCGTGACTGCACAGCGCCGAGTTCGTTGCGTAGGAACGGGCAGATGCGTGTGCAGACAGTTGGTGAAGAGGTGCTGGGGGGCTGTGTGTAGCAGAGCCAGGTGCCCAGAGCGGCACAGGCCTGTGTTCCTCGTCGGCCCCGCGAAGGGGGCCGCCGCCCTGGGGCCCCCTCGGGTCCCTGTGCGGCCGGGCTCTGCCAGTGTGTGCGCCCAGTTCTGTCATGTCCTTGCCGGCACGGGCTTCACTTACTGGCGGGAGGAGGGCAGTGTGCCTCTCCGTGATGAGTGCTGAGCTTTGCTTTGTCATTACTTCAACAGGCATGTGTTGAGGGCTCGCAGCGGACATCACATTATTGTGTTTATATTCGTGTGCACGACTTTTACTGGCTGGCACCCCCACCTCTTTGGGAACTACTTTTTTTTTTTTTTTTTTTTTTTTGGCGGTACGCGGGCCTCTCACTGTTGTGACCTCTCCCCCTTGCGGAGGACGCGCAGGCTCAGCGGCCATGGCTCACGGGCCCAGCCGCTCCGCGGCATGTGGGATCTTCCCGCACTGGGGCACGAACCCATGTCCCCTGCATTGGCAGGCGGACTCTCAACCACTGCGCCACCAGGGAAGCCCTTTGGGAACTACTTTATGTCTGCATACTTTGTTA